AAAGGCTTTATTATGCTCTTGCCTTTACAGAATGGGTTCACTTTTTTACCATGCAATCAGAAAATAATAATAGTCTTCTTTTGGTAGTGTTGCAGTTGTCTGACAAGCTCCCCTATGAATAAGATTTATTTCTCCAGGGCATTAAGACACACCTAAAGACAATTCAGGCATTCACTCCAAGAATACTTGCTGGTGCTGAGATGCATCAATTAGAAAACAGCAGATGTTCATCCCATTGGATGCTAACAGATGCAAAGATACGAACATTTCATTGTGGCCATAAAGTAAAACAAGCTCTGTGGAAATGAAAAGAACTCTCTCAAAAATCAGCCCATTAAGCCTGACTTCACTTATTAAGGATGATTTCTGAGGACAGCCAGGGAATATCTCCTTTAACCTAGATCATATAGGCAATTTACACTTTTAACTTCTCCCCTCTCTCTTTAACACAAGCTTTTACTGCCCAGTGAGCATACATGTAACACAGCAAACATGTATTTCTGTTGCTTTACAATTGTAAAATATGACAGGTAATAGCATAGCCCTCAGGCACAAAGAAATATTTTTCTTACTAACAGATTGTATGAAGAGCCTTGGTGAAGTAGCCAAAAGAATTGGGGCAGTTGATATCCCAGATGTCAGTGGGCCAGTGAATTCACTTCACTTTAGAAGGATGATTTTTGAGGATAGCCTGGGAATATCTGAGTATGTTGAAACATTCTACTTTTGGAGAGAACATGTAAAATGCTTTAAATGGAATCCCCTAATGCACCCTCCTTTTCCTCCTCCATCATTTTATCACTGTGAATGCTGTCCATTCTCTTGCATCTCACATCCCTCTAATCCAACATCTTGGCTGAAAGGAATCTTCCAGAAGGTCCGAAAACATGTCCCAAAGACAATAACCCTCTCCTGCTATATTTCCCTATAAGTGGTATTCAATGGTATACTGCCAATGAACATGGAGGATCCTTGAGAATCTGGAAAATGCCTTTTTGGACTAGAACTCCCAGCTCCCTCAACCTGCTTGACCATGGGTCATGCTGGATGGGCTATTCTGGGAGCTGCAGTCAAAAACAGTAATCTCTTCAAGATCTACAATGAATGTGTAGACTCCATCATGAGTGACAGCCCTGTCTTCCAAGAATTTGCCAAATCCCTTGTTTAAAATTCACCTAAGGCTAGAATTTTAGTCAAGACACCTTGAGACATGGTTTGGGTGAAAAGGTGGGATAGAAACAAAGGTAAGTCATGTGCCAGCCCTATGTTGCAGATTAATCTAGTCTTGTCTTCTCTTATTGCTCTGGTGCTTCTTTCATGGTGTCATCAAATTGTGTAATATTTTCATGATCAGCCCTACTGAGTGGTATAATACACATGCTCATCATGATACTTCCCTTTTCGTGAGGTGAACCCAACAATGCATACAACAATATTGAACCATGTGCACATATGTGAGCATACATGTATTATATTTGTTTTTCTCAAGTTTTCAGTAAAGCTAATGGGATGAAATTGAAGAGCAAGCCATCCTCAAGATATTTCTTCATTGCATCAGAAATAGTTCAAAACCACATCTTATTGCAGGGGAAATCCATTTGACTCCCTTACCTGTTATATTGAGGATATCAGATAACCTACAAAGTAGGGGTGGACCCTTTTCACCTCTTCAGAGATCCCAGAGGTCTAAAATGCACTGCTGTGGCTGCCATTTTGAGTAACTAGAAGTGACATATCATCATTAGAAATAGCCCTGGGGTGGACTTTGGTGATGTGATGGAGGAAGAATCTGGTGGTGTCATGAAGCAGCAAATATATTTGCTCTCAAGTTATTATTCAGATACACAAGCACATAGAAAGACCAATATTTCCCTGGTTGGAAACTAAGTGTGTTTGCAAATTGCAACATTTTATTCATATATATTAACTTTTACAAAGAGCAGCAAACTGCACAATAGGAAGGCTCCCTAGATGACTGGAATTTTGCATGCAGGCTTAATTCTCACCTGGAGCCTATAAAAACAAGAGAATTTGAACCCCCTAGAGGTAATCTTGTGCCCTAGAGGTGATCCATGAAAACTGGGGCCTCAAGGCAGTGCCCCAAGGTCTGGCAAATGTAGTGCTGGGGGAGGTTGAAAGTACCAACAAAATGTTACAGACCTGTCTGGATTTCCCTAAGGTTGCATACTTCCCTCAGATTTGATGTGGAACATTATCTCGTTTCCAATAGTGAAAGAAGATTCAATTGCCAGTCTAAGCAGCTTCTGTACTTAGATGCTAATGGTGGTGAGGTGCCATTTTGTCCTTTGTCTTAGGCAACCAAAGGTCTTCAGACCCACAAACTAAGGGGGGTAGCAGACTGCCAGAAACAGTGCAAATTGAGTCCACTTTTAGGATTAGGGTTAGGGTTAGTGCTAGGGAATCATGGGAATTTTTTCTAAGACATTGAGCCTTCTCTGTCAGAGAGCTCTGGTGTGACAATAAAATATAGTTCCCATGATTCCCTAACCCTAACCCTAAAAGTGGACTCAATTTGCACTATTTCTGACAGTCTGCAACACCCCCCTCAAATTACTCAATCAGACCAGTTTCTTCCACAACCCTTTCCATTGTAATCACAGTTTCCACTTCTCTGTCAGTTTACTACTATTGTTCCAGCATCATTGTTCCTTTGTCAAGCTCTGCTTTACCCTACCAATTTCAATTTCAGGTGTATTCCTTGAAATAAGAATGCTTATACTTTTAATGATTGCCAAACAAACCTAAATGGGGGTTAGCTTCAGTCGTCAACTCCAGATGATTAACATCAAAGCCAGTGAATCTATCTGAAGACAAACACTAAACCAAATTCCACAAAACAGTGATACCTTTATTGGGCCAACCAAATTGCATAAAATACTAAACCAAATGTTAAACATTATGCAGCCATATATCTTGAAAATGCAGGAGCCCTCAGAATGTCTGGGTCTATATGCTGTGCAAGTTGTAACACAAAGTGCATTGTGATAGAAATGTTCATGTAGGACTAATGCAGTCACAGCTGTGAATGCCAACAGAAAAAACACATCAATCATGTAATTCAGGTTAAGTCAGGCCTGCAAGCCTGCATTTTGTGACAGTTATGTATTTATTGTAAAGCAGTAATTTTCTCACCGAGAACACAGCATGAATTAGATCTGTAGCTCTCTGGGTGTTTTCTTGGTATTTCATAAAGCACCACCTAAATACACATGCAGTTTTCTGTGGCTCCCTCTGTGGGATCAAGTTTATCACTTAGCAACGTTTGCTAAGGAGTACATTGCAAAGGTAGCTCTGGTTCCCCCTCCTTCTCTTACTGTGAATGACGTCATTCACGTGTGGGAAATAGAGCCAGCTAGACTATCATCGCACGGCTGCAAAACAGTGCAAGAAATTAGTGAGGAAATAGCTTGCTACCACCAAGTTGCTATTGAGAACTTGGTTCTGATAGAAAAGCTGCTGAATCACATATAGTAGGTATATGCACTGACCATGTGATTGGATTCAGATCCCAGGCTTGGAAAATAGCCCAATTCCAGTTGTATCCATCTCAAGGTCACCTGATTCAACTCTGATCTGAATCCAAATCTCTCTGCCAAATAGTGACTATTTTTGAAATTCAGATGTCACATCCAGACCACCCTCACACTCATTGCTGCTGACATTTCAAAATTTATCTGATAGAATTTTATGGCGTTGGCAGGTGTTTTAACTTATTACAAGGGGATTATGCCTGACAAATTTCAGAAAAATAGGTTTGAGGAACTTTTGCTTCCTACCTTTGATTTCTGGTGTTTTGTATTTTTAAAGGAACCTGACAATAATTTTTTTTTTATTATTTCTTGGCAGAATTTGATGAGATATATTAGTGTAGCTGACCTGTTTGAGTGGATCAAGAAGAGATGCGCAAAATCTGTGCAAAAACTGCATTGACAGATGATAATGTGTTGTTGTTTTTAAGGGGGCACAACAATGCTATCCACTCAGGGATTTTGTGGGCAGTTGTTAGGAAAATGACATTCACAGTATAGATGGCCCTAGTTTGGTAACCTGAAATTTTTTAGAAGCATTAAAACAGAGCTTTGAGTGGAAGGGGAGATTTGGGGAGAGTGGAAGTGATTGGCCTGGATGCAAACTGTATGAAAACAGTATACAACATAGATGGTATCCTAGCAAAAAACATGAAAAATGTCAGAAAAATAAATGAAAAACAGTTTCAGACCATTTTTTTTTCATCTGATTGACATCAAAGAAGTCTATCACATGGGAGGGAAGTGCCCAAATCCCATGGATAAATGGGGATGAAATCCGGGAATATCCTGCAAGAGCAGGATTGTTTTCAGATAATGTCTCCCGACATCGCCATTATCCTGGAATTAACTCATTAATTAAAGTGTGCAATTTGTCCTCTTTTGGCCACTTTTTATTTTCGGGAAAATCACAAAAATAAAAAGTAGTTCAATTTGGCCTCTTTATTCAAAAGTTAATTCTGGGGTAATGGTAACGTGGGGGATGTCATCTAAAATAATCCCCCTCTTGTGGGATATTCCCAGGTTTTAATCCCCATTTATACACAGGATTTGGGCACTTTGGCTCCCATGTGATAAACTCCAAAGTCACAGAACACAGAAAGGACTGGATGATGAATGCAAACCTTATGGAAGCAGAAGATGGTAAACATCCAACATTTTCCAGGTTCCTAATGTGAAATCTACCTAGATCTCATAGACTCCATGAAAACAATTTTAACATTTCTCACATGGAGAGAAAAAGCTAACAACAATCACTGTACATTGAGTCAGTCATATAATATGTTGGTACAACATGCCTCCCTCAAACTCAAAGCACTGGAACTGGAAAGCGCTGGTGAAACTTTTCACTCCTTTCTCTAGAGTTCTCCTATAGAAATCTTGTTAAGAAATGTTCTTTCTTTCTGTCTGTCTGTCTGTCTTTTGACACACTGTGTGTTTGCAACCAACTAAATCCAAATGGTGTAGTGGTTTGAATGTTAGACTACAACTCTGGAAACTAGGGTTCAAATCCCCATACAGCCATGAAAACTCATTGGTTGATCCTTGACCAGTCACAAACTCTCAGCCCTCAGAAAATTTAGTGATAGGGTGACCTTTGGGTCACCATAAGTCAGAAACTATTTGAAAGGACACCATCACAAAGCAAACATTCAGAGAAGGCTATCTTTGGGGTGCTTTAGGAGAGTTTAGCTCACACATCTTTCAAAGCAAGGGTGTAGCTGGAAGAGGGGAATGAAGGCATTTTCCCCAATAGGAATTCTGCCCCCCTCCCCTCTGTAAAATTTTCAGTCCTCAAATTTCAGGCATTGTAGTAACTTAAAGCTTCAGTTGAGCATTTAGAAATATAATTTAGGACTCCAAAAAAAGGATCAGGCAAAGTTACCAAAGGGAAAGCAAATATGAGTGTGATTTCTGGGTGTGAATTATTTTCCTCACTCTTTTCTCTTCAAAAATTAGAAATTTGGGGACTGAAAGAAAATTTCATCAAGGGGTGGTCAGAATTCTTATTTTGGAGGTCTATGCTATCATTTTACCCCCACAGCTAAGCCCTTGCACAGACGTCTGTTCAAACCAGCTCAATTCAGTTCTGGCTTAGGAGTCATCTCAGTGCTGAGTATATTCTTAAAAGTCTCCCGCTGCATAGTTCTGGCATGAAAGAGATTGCAGCATGGAAACCCCTGAGAAAGTAAAGTAAAGAGGGTTTGCATGAAAGAGCAGTTTCTGCATGTGCATAAAGTGCACCTTGTTGTTTGGGCATGGAAGGGAAGCAGAACCTTCTTTTGTATTTTACCATCCTATTTTACCATCCTAGTTTATTTAGTGGGATTATATGCATGCTATTTGAGAGAAACGACAGAAGGTAGAGAGATGATGTTAAAAATTAAGAGGACAAGTCCTAGAGAACAGGCATGGTTTAAAAACATTGATTTCTTTATAATTCAAAGGTTCTGGTCCATCAATACTCACATCTCAAATGCATTATGTGGAGGCAAAATCCACTGAAATCAGTGTAATTTCATACCCTCCAACAGACTTGATTTGACAAGTAATCCTCTGTCATCCCACTTTTTCAACTGCATTCAAAATGTCCCAGTTCTCTCTCATCTTCTACTGTTCACCATTTGTCCCCAGCTTACTTCACTTGCTGCAAATTAAGTTCAAAGTGCAAAAAGTAGTTTGCACTCAATTATCTAACCAGGAGGGAGAGGGCAGAAGCTCAGGCAAAAGCAAACTCATGAAGCCTCTACTGGCTTGTGTGTCCTTCTTTCAGCAGTTGTCAGGGGTTTAGACTGCACCAAGTGGCAGCTCAGAGGAAGAGTGTCCATCTCAACACCTCCACTGCCCTGCTACCAGTCAGGTTTCCTCTGCAAAAGGTGGGGAGGATGCTGCCATTGAAGAGCATTGCCCCAGCCTACTTTCCTTCAATTGCTTCATCTTTCGGTGTCTGGCCAGGTGGATGGGCACAACAGTGGGAAAGAAGGGAGAGCAGAGCATTGCCTTGTCTACCTGCCTGTCCAGCCACCCAGATGTTTCCAGGTCTGGGTGGGTGGGTGGGTGAGGCAGCAGGAGGGAAGTCAATGGCACTCCATTGCCTCATCTGCCCACCTGTCCAGATGCCTGGGTCTTTCCAGGTCTGGCTGGGCAGGTGGGTGAGGCAGCAGGAGAAAAAGGACAATGAGGTGAGTCCACTGCCTCATCTGTCTATCCATCCACCTAGGTCTTTCCAGGTCTGGCAGGTGGCAGGCAGGTGTGCAGTCCATTGCTGCTGCTACCCACGCCAAGTGATGCCAACCCTAGTGGTACCACTATCTCCCTCATTAATAACTTTTGTCATCTTGACCATACTCTGATTTTGGTTGACCACACGTATCATAGTTTTCATTGGTGACATGTTGAAGGGTAAGAACTATGTTTGCATGGCCTACCCAGGGTGCAAATATCCTGAATACAAGGTGAAAGAAAGCTATACATTATGCATCAGTCACAAGCAAAGAAAATCCAATGGTCTCCTATCCCTAGCAAAGCAGCCTCGTGATGAGACATCTTGCATTTGAAAAAGGACAGGTCACGAACCTTCTCCTGACAATCTCCTTTCTCCCAAAACATTCCCTCTTGCACTATGTAAGCTATTCGTTCACTTCTGTTCCTCCTTTGTTTCAAAGTGTCACCTCCCATGGGAATTTTGCAATGGAAAAATAACTACTGAATAGGACTCTGTTCACAAAAATAAAAGCTCAAAAATAGTATTTTCAGTATGGTAGAGAGCACCTCAGATCACAATATTGGGTCTCTGTATCTTTTCCCTTGAGGGAGAGAGAAGAAGCTGGAAGGAGAGGGAATTTTGAATGAGAAAATGCTAGCTTGAAAATGCTTAAACAACCTCTCCTCCATTTGTCCTCCACTCATTCTGAAGCCACTTACAAATGCCGGTTGGCCACGCTGATTGGGAGTTGTAGGCCAAAATGTAAATTTTCCAGACTCCGGACTTCTAGCTGCTGCTTTGCATTGGACAGAGGGGAAAAAAGGGGGAGAAAAAACTTTAAAAAGGGGATTTTAAAGGGAAAAAATCCCTTTAAAATCACAAAACTAGTTTGGCCCCAGGCATTATTGTGAATAACACAGAGGGAGGAAATAATCTTGATTTTTCTCCTACTGGTGTTAGCACATAAACGAGTCAGGAAAAATGAAATGGAGAAAGGAGTCTGCAAAATATTTAGTATCTGTCAAGTTTCTTAGCTACATATTGCTCAGCTTATGTGTTTTATTGATGCTGCTTTGAAGTTTCAGATGAGAATCATTTCCATTGCCTTGACTCCTCTCCATGTTTCTACGAGCTGCTTACCTGCATTTACCATTTACACTAGAATCCAGCAATCAGTGGTGGCACCTTGATGGAAGATGCCTGTTTTATGATACCTCTCATCTTTATGATAAACAGCCAGTTGTATATTTTCCTTTCCACATAGGAAAGGATTGACAGAAAACTACTCCCACATTGGAGCAGCCACTACACTGAATAAAAATCTATATTTCCCCAGCTGCACTTCCATCACTTTAAAAGAGTTAAAAAAAAAAAAAAAGGCTCACTACTTGATAACATAAAACAACTTTAAAGAATTCCAGAGTCAAAGAGCCATGCATTTAGTCACCTATACTTGTATGCATTTTGGACTTCTGTTTTTTTTTTTTAAATAATAGTAAGGAATTTACAGTAATTTGTGTTTATAAGTTCTACTCAAAATGGTCATGTGTGGACCAATGCCAGCCTGTATGCTATTGGCTGCCAGTCCACAGTAAGTTTCCAGGAAAGAAACAAACAGTTATGGCTGATGGCACAAATATAATGCCAGTTCTTGGAACATACCTGGAAAAACCCAGATGGTCCCCACATCAAATATCTTAAGAATCACTGTTTTAGAACATGGTTATTTGGAAGCTCCACTGTGTCCTGTGGGGCTCACTCAAGGATATGTTTGATTGCAGCCCCAGTGTTGTAACAAAAGCAAAAATGGTTGAATCAATAGAAGGGCAATAGAGAATTGGTATAGATGCTAAATCATATTGAAAGAAAAATAGACATATATGAAGAAAGCAACCTTTTAGGAAGTGATAGACATCTTTGTCATGCTTTTACTGTTTCTCTTGTTGTCCAGGTGCCCAAGGAAGGTTTTCTCAAGCTGCAATTGTCCAGATGTGTTGGACTGTAACTCCAGACACATGGCCAGCATGGTGATGATGGGAATCATAGTTGAATACATCTATGTGTGGAGGGGCAAGTTTGGAAGAAAACTGGTCTATATACTTATAAAGCTCCCACTCATTTTAAGTGGGGCTTGTGCAAGAGAATGTCTTGCTGGACTGTGTCCTTCAGGTATTTTAATTATTACTCTTTGAAACAGAAACCATTTTTTTTATTTACTATACTAATTTATGTATTCATTTCCTATACAGCTCTCAGTAAATAGTAATTTGCTCTGGAGATATTAATTCATCCACCATTATTATTGACTACAGCACTCATAAGGACGTTTTCTTCTTTCCTCACATTTTTTTCCCAGTGGACATTAAGCCTTTGGACATTGTAATAACAGAAGATCAACACCTTTCATGCTTCACAATAAGCAGATAAGAGGTTTTACAAAATCTGCAGTGACCTTGACATATTGAATCTCCTGGATAAATTCTTCAAACCTTAAACATATTTCATAAATTTGACCAAATATGTGCTGGAAATAAATAAGGGGAAAATCAAGTACTTAAGTTTAAATATGAACTATACAAATATACTTATGAAATAACTACAATTCCTATTGTTACATCTTCATTAAAATATCTAGCTATAATAATTTCCATAAATTACCTAAGGTAATCAAATTATATTATGTTCCTTTAATCAAATCCATTAGACAAAAGTTAAATAAATGGCTCAATGCTATGGAACTCTGGGATCTGTAGTTTTGTGAGACATTTAGCATTCTCTGTCAGAGAACTCTGGTACCACAACAAACTTCAATTCCCAGGATTCCATAGGAGTGTTAAAGTGTTGTCCAACTGGATTATTTCTGCAATGTGAATGCAGCCTTGGACTCATACTGACTCTATGAATGAGATGTCTCCAAGACTCCCTTTCCTCCACTGCCCTGCTCAGGTTCTGCAGGTTCAGGCCATTGTTTCCTTGATTTTGTCTATCCATCTGCTATGTGGTCTTCCTCTCTTCCTACTGCACCCACCTTTCCAAGCATTAATGTTTTTCTAGTGAGTCATGTCTTCTCGTGATGTGGCAGAAGTACATCATCATGGCTTCCAGGGAGAGCTAGGCTTCATCTGTTCTATGATCCATTTGTTTGTCTTTTTGGTTGTCCAACACTCTTCTCCCATACACATTTCAGATGAGTTGATTTTGTATTTACCAGCTTTTTTCACTGCCCAGCTCTCAGATCCATGCATGGCGATGGGAATACTATGGCTTGGACAATCCTAACTTGAGTGTTCAGTCTTATGTCTTTGCACTTTAAGTCCTT